AACATACAAGAGAAAATATAATAACCAACAGTATCTGCACGACGCCAATCTCAAGACAGGCACCAACTAGTGGAAAACCATAACTATAAAAGGAAAGTCCAACAGCAGCAATAGTTGGGGCCACAACTACAGGATGGATCAACCTGAAAAAGATAAACCAATTACGTATTACTTATTAGTCTATGAGCAAAATACAAGTCCGAGTACTGTATAAGTAACAGAAGTCTTCCTTGTCACCATAAATGAAAAGAAGTTAATCAAGAAACAGAAAGATGTTAGAAGTCAGCAATTCCATACCTCAAAATTACCGACATCAATCCGCTATATCCAAGTATTGCTTGAAAAGCTGAAGCTATGATAATTGCACCTTGTAACTCCTTCATTATATGCTTAAAATTCTGTAAGCATTAATACACAATACGACATCTTATAAGATTCAATATGGTATAAAAGCACTTAAATTAGGGATTTCGTGAATTTATGGCATGTAAAAAGATGAAGTAGATTGGGAGATTGATGTAAAAGTATTCCAGATGAAAAAAGTTACTCAATCACGCATATCTTCCAATGAAAAACTCAATAAAAGATCATTGCAGATATCTATTCTCGCCATCAAGAAGTATCATTATTTAGCTTGCTCAATGATTAAGATGTTACATTCATAGCCATTGAAAATAAGTAAAGTAGGAAGCTGGGATTTTTAATTACTTTGTCCATGATTAAGGTTCTGGTCCAAACTACTCTTCCTTAAAACAACCAATCTCTTCACATTGCAATGACAAATGACAATATATCAAAATGGAGGACAAAAAGTAGATTATAGTTATGAGTTATGACTAATGATATTCTAATATTTCAGACTAAAGTTCAGAACTGGCCAGAGAACTAGTGAACTGCATGCTTATATAGCCATCAGCCATCATTAAAGGCTGTCACTGAAGTATAATATACGTATTGAGTACTATGAAGCAAAAATAAAAAAATAGAATTGAAAGGAATAGAATGCGGCAGAAAATTGAAAAATTAAATCACATCCTTTTGGCAGAGAAAAACCATGATACAGAATGCAGGAGTTGCTAATTTCCATACTCAAAACTGCATTAAGAAAACAGAGCAGAAGAGAAGCATACGTTCCCGTTAAGTCCTTGAAACTCTGGGGAATTGATAATTGCCAATGCTGGAGCCAGGAAAACAAACGATGGACCCTGTATCAACGGTAATCTTGAGCCGAACGACGTATGCAAAAGGGTGGTTATGCCGGACACGAAGAGCACTGTCGATACGACATTTGAAGTATCTTCCTATAAGCCACTAACTTCAATCAGACCATCGCACTAAAAATGATGAAAAAGCTTCAAACAAGTAACTTTAATCTACTTACGTAAGTGCCACCCATGGCAGGAACTATAACAAGCGGAATAAGAACCAACGAACCCAACATCGAAATATAATGCTGGAACCCATATAGACCAATCGGGACTGAAATTTCGGGACCAACAAATAGAACCATATCAGCCATGACCTCCAATTCCGAAACTTATCAATTACAAAATCTAGAATATAATAACTAATAGAGTGCTGGTTCTTAGTGTTCTTATATCCGTTAAAACAGTGGAACTCACCAAGACCAGGTGTATCTCTAAGCTCGTACTTCATGTGCGAGTGTCTAGCCACAAATCCATCATCATCACCACCAGTCTGCGGCAGAACATCAACCACATCCTCATTTCTGGGCGGCCGTCTGGGTTGTTGTTGCGCCGGCGCCGCGTCGGGAGGAGGAGGCAAAGCTTGTCCATTCTGTCCCTGTCCAGAACCCTTGGGCAACCCATCAGAATCCCTCCTCCTCTTCACCGTCTGATCCTTCTCCTTCTCTTTCTCGGGCTCCCCATTGGCAGCAGAGCTCCCCCGGAGGCGTCCGGCTTCAAGATCCGGGTGGGCATCGGGGGTAGCCTTGGGCCTCGAAGGAAGAGCCACCTGGCCGGAGTCGGTGGCATTGGTCTCGCCGGAGAACTTGGGGCGGAAGCCGGTGCGCTTGGCCCAAGAAGCAGGCGGCATTGAGGAAGAATCCGGAGCGGGCGGCCAAGGGCCCGGACGGAGACGGGTTTTGGGGTCGGAGGTAGACATTTAGTGAAAGTGAGAGGGAATTAGAGTGACATAGCTGAATGCAGAGCAGATCGGAGCTCCGGGAGTGGCTAGGGCACTGTGTAGAGCTTGCAGAGCAGAATCAATGGAGCTCTCTCTCACTCCTCAGAGGTTAGATAGAGAGAATGAAGTGTGTGTGAGTGAGTGCAGAGCGAGAGAGAATGAGTGGGAGAGAGCGAAGGAAACGCCAAAGAGAGACAACTCAGGAAGCGGTGGACGCCTTAAAACCGCGTTCTTTTTCTTTTTTTTTTTTCAAATTTAAATAATATTTTAGTCTCCATCCTTTCCGTTTTAGTCGTATAATATTTTATCCAAATTTATGATTATATTTCTAAGAAAATCGGTTAGTTTSTTGTCATGCTAGAATTGTGACTCAAATGACACGAAAACTAACAAAATTATCACTTTTTAAGAGTATAGAAATCAAAACGGATATTTCAAAAGCATATGAACTGAAGTGAACAAAAGTAAAAAGTATATGAATTGAAATAGACGTTTTGAGAGTACATGAACCTGTATTTGAGCTTTATTTATTTTATTTTTGTTCATTTTAATCTATGTATTTTTATGATAYTTAAGTGCGTATGAGGATGCATGAGTTCTTACCTTCTGTTTTTATATGATGTATTTTTAATGGGTTGTTTGATGTTTTCACTGCTCTATGAAATTTACTAAATTTTGTAGTCATTAAAAATGTCTTATCAAAAGCTATAAGAAGTTTTATTGATCCTGATAGTTGATGTGTTGTAATTACTTTTCTATTTTGATTTATATATTTTAATAAAAGTGATCGTTTGGATATCGTTTGTAAGTTTCTAAAACAGATTCTATGTCATAGGAAGATTATTTACTACAAAATTATGACAATATATCCATAAATTTATTAAATGTCGTGTCATTAAAAGCGTTTTGAAATTTTCAAAAAAAAAAAAACATTTTGAAAGCAAAATGACAACCCTCTAACCCCACATAGTAGATACCTTAATTATTGACTGTGTTAAAATAAACATTTTCTTAAATTTAAAATCAATATAAAATAAACAAAACTAAAATTGACAGAAAAAAGTAGAATTCAAACATTTTTTATATAAAATAAATTCCCTTTTTAAATTAATTTCGATTTATTTTATGGAAAGCTATTTTTCGAGGTTTACAAAAATGTCAGACTCTCAGTGACAGAGAGTCAGACGGCTTCTTTTCTGGATAGCGTTTTAGATTTCATTATTTATCTCTAATTATTAAAAAGAAAATGTATAAATTAATTATATATCAATTTTTTTTTCCTCTTATTCTCTGCTCTAATTCTTATAACTGTATTCAAAATCAAATCCTGTCTTTAATTTTTTTTATTTAAATCACGTTTTAATTCCAACATTTTTAGTTCAAACAAATTTTAGAAATATTCCAAATTTTGTTCCTGAGGAAAGAATAAGTTAGTTTTATCCGAACCTTATATTTGGTTGAATTGAATGTTAGACTTTGATTAGTATCATGTTTATTACATATTATCAAAGGACCGTTTAAGGATTTTTAAATAATATTTTCACATGCATTGTAATTTGTAGGGATTCAAATTTGTGACGGATCGATGATATATACTTTAACTCAAATCGATTCAAAAAATCAAAATTTTAAAATGTCACCAAATTGAAAGTAAATGAAATAAATACTAAAAAAATGTTTAATTATTATTTTGTTACAGCATTTTGACACATTTTGATATCTATAATTTTAATACATTCTAGTCCATGTTATTTTAAAAATGACAGTTTTAATCCTTTCTCATTTATCATAACTTCAACACGATCATGTCTTTTATTAGAATTTGTGTTAAAAAATTTTAAATAGCGATTAAAATTATCACTTTTTAAAAATATAAATATTAAAATCGTCATTTTAAAATTATACGAACTAAGGTGAAAAAAAAGGTTAAAATATAGTAATTAAAATGAAGAATAGAAATTAAAATAAATGAAATCTAAAAATATAAAGATGAAAATAATATTTTTAGAAAAATGAAAGTGACACCGGAGGCTAATTTATTGTCTTGTGAACAAACCGTACAAAAAATATTAAATAAATGAACTTCTGGGGTCAATCTCGCACGCATTTATTAACACTAGTGCCCCCTAAAATTAATTAATTTACATTTCACCAATAACTTCACCTGCATAAGTTATCAACAAATAATCTCAATTGTGGGAATTTGAAATTTATAAAGGATATTTTTATTTTTATTTGCAACTTGGTCCCTACCATTTTGAAATATCAATTGGGTCCCTGTAATTTAGTTTAACTTCACCAATCGTCTATAAATCATTGTTATCCCTATTTTTACCTATTCTTGAATCCTAATCCATGATCAGTCATATAAAAAATGTCTTTTAATTGTCACACAAACAAAAAGATACGATGCATATTCAATATGGTAACACAGTGAAGATTGATGAGATTTAACCAAACTATAGGGACCAAATTTTAAAACCATAAAAAACTAATTGAAATACGTCTAGAAGACCAATTTGTTAATCTAATATTTTTTTTAATTTGTTCACCACTCAAAACAGAAATTATATTGCATATCTTCTTATTCTTATAATTAATTATAACTTTTTTTAATATAAAATGTAGGGTGTCACATATTTGAACTTCTAAGGTTAAGGAATGAGTTATATATTTTTATCTCTTATATGCTTGTAAATAATTAAATTTACCCAACCCAAATGTAGGGTGTCACATATTTGAACTTCTAAGCTTAAGCTTTTGGGTTGAGTGGCAGTTTATTCATCCTTAAGATGGTATCAGAGCGGGAGGTCATGTGTTTGAGTCTCGCCTATCTTTCGTTTTATTTTTATAGGTTGGTCCGGTATATTACTCTCACCTTGTGCCTATTTTGCTGTAGGAGGTTGGTATACAGGTACAACCTTGGTAACTTCGCACGCTCTTCGTTTTGTTGCTCTCCACAGTACTCTTCGACTAATAGGTTTTATATTACGTCAATTTGAACTTGTTCGATCAGTTTAATTGCGACCTTATAATGCAATCGCATTGTCGAGTCCAATTGTTATTTTTGGTTATGTATTCCTAATTTATCCACTAGGTGAGTTTGGTTGGTTTTGAGAAATATAGAGGTTCGTAACTATTCATATTTCTCATTTTGAATTTATAAAAAATATTTTTGCATATAAATTTTCAAAACAATAAAATCATCCTTCTTTCAAAAGTATTATTTTATCAATTTTTTTTATTATTGAAATGCATAAAAAGTTGAATATTTAACTTGAAAAACTAAATTCATACAAACTTTTTTACTTTATTTAATCTAAAAATGTAATACACAAGAAACAATAAACTGTTATCGAAAGTAGTTACATTATTCAAGATTGAAGAAAGAGGGAACACGTAATAAGAAATGAGAAATAAGAAATAGAAACTTTATCGAACAGATCCTAAAAATTTAGGTTTAATTACTTTGAATTTTTTTATTAGAATTATATAAGTGGGAAAAAAAATAAAAGGACAATAATATTCAGCTTGGCTTGCTTGATAGTGACACCATCTGGTGTGAGAAAAAAAAAAAGGAATAACCAATCACTGTTATAGAAAGAAGAGCCTATAAATGTAATTTTAGATATCAAATGCATCAGAAAAAGAATCTACACAAATGTCATTTTTGATAGCAACACATGAGCAAACGAAAAAAAGAAAATCCAACTTTGCAAAAAAAGAAATAATAATAATAATTAACAAATAAATAAATGCTTATTCTAAATCGCCTTTATTCAAAACTAATGGCCCTACAAGGCATTTTTAATTAATATTTATACATATAAGTGAAGTATAAGTTTTTAAACCAATTTTGAAATGTTAAAATTTGTGTGCTTATAATGTATTGACTCAATCAAATTCTTAGAAGGAGCTAAAATGTCAACTACCGTGTTAGTCTATTTAGCACAACTTCGTTCAATTTCAAACCAGATACGATATTATTTGAGTATGACTATCTGACTTGAGGTTTCATCTTATAATATGGTATCACGTTCCTACCTTTTAATCAAGTTGCCAATTCAATTGATCACCTCTTTATCGTTCACAACACACAACTCTATAAACTGTATGATTTAAGGAGATATTGTCTTTTATATCCTTTATCGTTCAAATTAAACTCACATGCTTATAAATATGATTTCATGTAATGCCCTAAGTGACAGTTTTTAGTTCTTAAATAAGAATTATCCTTATCATAATCTCTTAAGTACATGATTATCAAAGTCACTCCAATAAACACCACATTGGTAAATTGAACCGTAGATTTTTATTTTTATTTTTTAACATCTACGTGTAAAGTCGTTTATTTTTATTAGATTTATCTTTTTAATAATATTTAAATATAAGCGTTGGAAATGATTTCTTAAATGGTCTTCATAAATAATTTTCGTAATTTTGAGATTCAATGCTACCAAAAAATACTCATATTAGTTTTTCTTTATAAAACAAGCTTTATTTACTATAATTAATTTATTTATGTTTCTTCTTTTAAAGCCATTTTTGAATCTCAGTCAAATTTCAAAAGTAGAAAAACAGAACTTTCTAAAAGTTACTTTTTTTTGTCTTTTATCATTTCAAGTTTTTAAAGCACTGCTACAACCTGTAATTTGAAAAATATATTAAGAGAGTTAGATGAAAAAACAAATAAATTGTCTATAAATAAAATTTTGAAAAAAAAGACCAAAAAAATAATTAAACAAACTCTACCATTTTTTAGTGCTATTTAGAGTGTGTTTAGATTAATGATTTTGGAATGGTACAAGTGTTTTTATTATTAAATCTAGAGTATTTTCATAATTAGAAAATATTTTTACAATAATCAGATTGGTTCATAATCATCTGTTGAACCATCACTTTAAAGTTGATTATACAGAAAATAATTATGAAGCGATTAACTGAAAATCAATTTATAATAATATAGTTTTTTAGAATTATTTTTAGAGGCAGTGCAACCAAACAATTTTGTGATTAAAATAAGTTTAAAAAAATTAACCAAACACACAAATATTTTAACTAAAACTTTTTCTTTTTAACAGATAATGAAAATGATCAAGTTAGAAGGCATGGAACAGTTTTTTTAGAACAATAACATTAATGCACCAAAAGGATTATGAAATTCATGTTCCAAATAA